AACAGTAACACATTTCTGCCTTGCCCCCATGTCCCTCTTCAACACCCGTTCCATTGACTACTCGTTAGTAGACCTTTCTTCAGAGAGTTGCTGGCACTGTCTGTCTCCAGACTCTCTCTCGCCACCTTTCTTTCTGAGCCACGTAAGTCAGGGAATCGCCCCAGGATTTTACACTAAGATGGCTTTTCCAGGTCACCAGTGACACCCATCTTGCCACATCCCATGACTGGTTCTCAGTGCTCATCTTGCCCAAACTCTCATCAGCGTGTGACAGTTTGCCACTCCCTCCTCTTGGCTTCTGGGGTGGTTTTTCTCACCTCTCCCCACTGGCCACTCCTTTCCCAGTCTCCTTTGCTGCCAATGTTCGGTCCCCAGCCTCTGTAAAGTGCCAGAGGACCATTGCTGAAGCCTCTCCCCATACTCACTCCCTAGGTGAATTCATTCAGTTTCACGGCCTCAGAGACCACAGAAGGGCTCACCGCTCCCCACTACACATCCCCAGCCCAGAGCTCGCAACCAAACTCCAGCCCTGTCTATGTAAACTGCTGACTTCACATCTCCACTTGAATGTTTTATTAGTCAGTTCAAGTTGCCATAACAAAAAAACCACAGACCTGATGAACAACAGAAACTGACTTTCTCACAGTTCCGGAGGCCGGAAGTCTGCGATCAGGTTTTAGGCAGTCTCACTTTCTCCTGAGGCCTCTTTTCCGGACTCGCTTGTGGCCACTCCCGTGTGTCTGCGTGGCCTTTTCTTTGTGTGTCCCTGGAACTCTCTTGCAGAACACTAGTCATATTGGATTCGGATGCCCCCATGACCTAATTTTTTTTTTTTTTTTTTGACAGGCTTTAGTTCTGTCGCCCTGGCTGGACTGCAGTGCCGTGGTATAATCACAGATCACTGGAATCTTGAACTTCTGGGCTCAAGCGATCCTCCTGCCTTAGTCTCCTGAGTAGTGAAGGCTGCAGGTACATACCACCACATCCAGCTACATTTTAAATTTTGTTGGTAGAAATAGAGTCTCTTTATATTGCCTAGGCTGGTCTTGAACTCCTGGCATCAAGCAATCCTCCTGCTTTGGTCTCCCAAATTGCTGGGATTATAGGCATGAGTCACTGTACTTGACCCTAATTTAATCTTAATTACCTTGATAAGGCACTATCTCCAAATACAGTCACATTGGGAGCTAGGGTCTCAACATAAAAACTTGGTGAGGGCACAGTTCAGTTTGTAATGGATGTCCAGTGGGCACCTCGAACTTACCACGTCTTCTAGGTGAACGGCAGTTCCATCCTTCCAGGTGCTCAGGCGGAATCCCCAGGTTCCCCCTTCCTCGCTGCTGCACATTTCAATCCACCAGCAAATCCTGTTGTCTCTGCTTTAAAAATGGGTGTGGCTTCTAACTGCTTCTTTCTGCCTTCACTGCCATCACGCTCATCCAAACCATCATCATTTTAAAACTAAATTAAGAAAATGGCCTCCTGTGCTGTCTCCTATTTCTGCCTTTGGCCTTTAAAATCATTTCTCAATGTGCCAGTGAGAGTAATCCTTCTAAAACAGAAGTCAGACCATGTTACTTTCTGTTCAGCCTCCTGCCACAGCAAGACCCCATCTCATTCTTTCAGGGACCAGCAGAGCCCTGCAGGCCACCTCTCCGATTGCCTAGTATTCTGCTGCTTGCTGCTTCTGCTCAGCCACGCTACTCTCCTTGCTGCTGCTGGAGGCATGTTCTCACCTCACGGCCTTTGCCTTTGCTGTTCCCTCTGGCTGAAATGCTCTTGCACTGGATATTATGTGTTGTGTTTCCATCATCTTTGTCAGATATCTGCTCACATATGACATTTTCAGCCAGGCGTGGTGGCTTATGCCTGTAATCCCAGCATTTTAGGAGGCCAAGGCAGGTGGATCACCTGAGTTCAGGGGTTTGAGACCAGCCTGGCCAACATGGCGAAAACCTGTCTCTATTAAAAATATAAAAATTAGGTAGGCATGGTGGCAGGTGGCTGTGATCCCAGCTACTCGGGAGGCTGAGGCAGGAGAATCTTTGAATCTGGGAGGCAGAGGTTGCGGTAAGCTGAGATCATGCCGCTGTACTCCAGCCTGGGAGACAGAGCAAGACTCCATCTCCAAAAAAAAAAAGACATTTTCAGAGAGGTCCTCTTTGACTATATCACAAAAATAGTGCTCCCACTCTTGCTGTGCAAACTCAATTTCTCATACCCTATTCTATGTATTTCTAAAGCAGTCATCGTCAAATGGTATACTCTCTCTAAATTATTTTTTTGGGCATTTTTCTATTGCCACCTTCTCTCTTCACTAGCATGTGGCTCCATGAGGGCAAACACTTAATCTATTATGTTCACTGGGGCATTTCCAGAATCCAGAACTTGCCTGAAGCCCAGTAGATGTCAATAAGTTCTGGAGGGATGAATGAATGACTCCTCTCATTGTAAGGCAGTTTGGGGTATGCAGTCTTTATCTGGGCACATTTCTCCTCTTCTCTTTGTAGGGGAGAAAGGGATGAGGATGCTGGATAAGCAGCTCAGCATGTTCCCCATCGTGTAAGGGAGTCATGCCAAGCTCTGCACTGTCCTCCTTGGTACGTATCCTCAGAATGCATCCTTTGCAGAAGCAGGAAGTACCTGTGCCTGCTGTGAGTCTTTGTGGACAGAGGTAGGATCATGCTGGCTAGAATCTAGTGGACAAGGTAAGGAAAAGTAAGCATTGAGGAGGGGAAAGCATTTGTTGTATGAGGTCTGGGGAGGTCCTGCCTCAAGGAAGAGGGTTGCACAGACCCCTGGGAAGCCTCACCTCTGTGCACTGGAGCTGGTGGGCTGAGGTATGGGCTCTCAAATTGAGCCTGATTTCTGGACTGTGGCACGGAATGGTGCTGGGTGTGTATCTTAGTCTGTTTTGTGCAGCTATAACAGGATAGCCGAGATTAGATAGGTGATTAGGTCATTAGGTCCTGGAGTCTAAGTCCAGAATCAAGGGGTTGGCTTCTTGTGAGGGCTTCTTGCTACATCATTATATGGCAGAAGGTGAGAGGGCAAGAGGTGAATTGCACACAGAGAGGGGAGAACAAACATGTTCCTCTACAGTGAACCCTTTCCCATGATAATTAACATACTCCCACAATCATGGCATTCATTCATTCATGAAATCAGAGCCATCGCGACCTACTTACCTCTCAACAGATACATCTCTTAGTACTGCTACAATTGCAATTAAATTTCAACATGAGCTTTGGAGGGAACATGGAAACCACAGCAGTGTGCCATTCTTCATGTTCACCTCTGAGCGTACCCTCACCCTTGCTGTGCCCATCCTTGAGGATTTGCCTTTCATCCCCAAGTCTGGCTTCAGCCCATAATCTTTTGTGCCAATGCCAAAAATTGAGGTTTAAAGTCTCACTGAGTAATTTCACCAAGATATCTTGTAAACCAATAGTCAGTGAATTCTACTTGGTCACCTGTGGATACTAGTTGGGTATGTAAGTTAGTGTTTGCTGCTGAAAATAGCCACTGTTTATTGAGCTCACAATTCAGTGGATTTGCAATTTGGCCTGGGATCAGTGGGGTGGTTCTTCTGCTCTCAGCTGGGCTCACACGTTCAATTGCAGCCAACTTCCGTGGCTGAGGCTAGATGGTCTCGGGCTAGGATGGCTTATCTCTACTTTGTGTGGTCACTCATAGTTGGCAGGCTGGCACAGGCTTGCTTACATGGCAGGCCCACAGGGCTCTGAGGTAGCATAAGAGCATGCATCGCTTATTGAGGCCTAAGCTCAGATCCCAAACTCCATCACATCTATTACATTCTGTTGGTCAAAGCAAGTCGTCACAAGGGCTAGTATATGGACCACACAACTGAGTGAGAAAGCGGAGAGATGTTTCTTCACCCAGGGGCCCTCACATTTTCTGTTTTTTATAGGCCCTCAGTCTGCTCCTCTCATTCCCAGCAGTAGTGGGTTCTGTGGAGTCCTCTGCCTTCTGCCCTTGGGCTAGACAGCTGTGTCTGTGAGCTCTGTGACTGTTTTTGTTTACTTGTTTATTTGTTTGTTTTCCAGACAGGCTTCATAGAAGCTCTCAGAGACACGTTTTGGCTTAAGAGCCTCTCGATTTTCCTGGTCCGTTGTCATAGCCAGAGCTTGTTGGCAAGGCTTCAGCCATTCGTATGTAATGCTGTGCCCTGATTAACGGAGGTGGTTTCACTTTTATTGTCCCTCTATGTCAGCCTGTCTACCCCGTGGCTGGGGCAGAAGCTGCCCACAGGTCTGCGGCTATTTACGGGCAGAGCCAGAGATGTGCTGTGCTCATTCCGAGATGTGGTGGGGATGGAGGTATGGGTTCCATCCTGCTCTGTGACCTTGGTCAACAGTTTTAACTTTTCCTAACTGCCTACCAAAGTGTCATTTCCCTCATAGTTACAAATTATATGATAAAACTCCCTTTTGCCATCATTGGTTTGTCCCGCTACTGGACCATCAGCATACAAACATGCTATCCTTGCTCCTATCTTTTTTTTTGAGACAGAGTCTCGCTCTGTCACCAGGCTGGAGTGCAGTGGCGCGATCTTGGCTCACTGCAACCTCTGCCTCTCGGGTTCAAGCGATTCTCCTGCTTCAGCCTCCTGAGTAGCTAGGAGTACAGGCGTGCACCACCACACCCGGCTAACTTTTGTATTTTTAGAGAGACGGAGTTTCATTATGTTGGCCTGGATGGTCTTGATCTCTTGACCTCGTGATCCACCCACCTTGGCCTCCCAAAGTGTTGGGGTTACAGATGTGAGCCTCTGCACTCGGCCCCATTGCTCCTATCTTAAAACATTGATCTTGTCTTAACTCCATGTCTCTTTTCCCACTACTCTTCAGAGATAAACTCTTTAAAAAATGTGACTGTACGCACTATCCCCAGTATGTGGGCTTCCATTTCCCCTTCAAGCCTCTCTGGTGAGGACTCCTCCTCGCCTCCTCTGAAACTGCTCTTGGCAAGGTCAGTTGCTAAGGCCAATGGTCATTCTCTGTCCCTATCTGATTCTCCACAGGTAGCCACTTTCTCCTTGAGAAACTCTCCTCTCACTTGGCCTTCTTCTCCTTTCTTGCTGGCTGACTCATCCTCATTTCCCTGACCATTGGATATTGGAGGGCCCTAAGTTCAGGCTCCAGGCCTTTCCTCTTTCTTATGTATGTCTCCTTGGTGATCTCATGCTGTCTCATGGCTTTAAACACCAGCTGTATGCCAGTGACTCTCATAATTATGTCTCCAGTTCCAACCCTTTCTGGTCCTCAGACTCACAAATCCAACTGATTGTTCAACATCGCCAATTGGATGGATGTGTAACTGGCATCTTAAATTTAGCATGTGAAGTCTGAATCTGGTGTACTTCCAATCTGCTCCTCTCACTGTTGCATAAAGGCAAGGTCATCTTGCAAGTTCTTGCCCGTGATCCTCTCTGTGTGTGTGTGTGTGTGTATACATAGCGTTTTCTTACATATTTACAAATTATATGATATTTGTAAACAGGATTAGATGTGAATGGCTGAAGCCTTGCCATTGTTAGTTGCATACCCATTAAGAATTGTGATGACTGCTTGGAGGATTGACTCCTTTGTTATTATGTAATGATCCTCTTTATTCTTGATTATTTTAATTGCTTTGAAGTCTGCTCTATCTGAAATTAATATAACTACAACTTTTAAAAGAATTTTCAATTTTGTGGGTACACAGGAGGTATATATATTGATAGGGTGCATGAGATATTTTTACACAGGCATACAATGTATAATAATCATGTCAGGAGTAAAGGTATCCATCACCTCAAGCATTTATTATTTTAGTTATTTAAAAATGTACAATATACTATTATTGACTGTAGTCACCCTGCTGTACTATCAGATAGTAGCTTATTCTATCGAATTATTTTTTGTACTCATTACAAAATTTCCACTCCTCTCTCCCCCACTACCTTTCCTAGCCTCTGGTAACCATCATTCTACTTTCTATCTCTATGAATTGGATTGTTTTAATTTTTAGCTCCCACAAATAAGTGAGAACATGAGAAGTTTGTCTTTCTGTGCCTGGCCTACTTAGCATAATGACCTCCAGCTCCATCCACATTGTTACAAATGGCAGGGTCTCATTTTTTTTTTTATTACGGCTGAATAGTACTCCATTATGTATAAGTACCACATTTTCCTTATCCGTTTGTGTGTTGATGGACACGTAGGTTGCTTCCAAGTCTCAGCTATTGCGAATAGTGCTGCAATAAATGGGAATGCAGATACCTCTTTGATACACTGAGTTCCTTGTATTTTGGGTATATATCTAGCAGGGGGTTTGCTAGATTATATGATAGTTCTATTTTAAATTTTTTGGGGATCCTCCAAACAGTTCTCCATAGTGGTTGTACTAATTTACATTCCCACCAATGGTGTGTGATGGTTCCCTTTTCTTCACATCCTCAGGAGCATTCGTGATTGCCTGTCTTTTGCATAAAAGCCATTTTAGCTGGGAGGAGATGATATCTTGTTATAATAATAATTTTGATTTGCATTTCTCTGATGATCAGTTATACTGGGTACCTTTTCATATTCCTATTTGCCATTTGTATGTCTTCTCTTGAGAAATGTCTGCTCAGATCTTTTGCCCATTTTTAATTGGATTATTAGATTTTTTTCTATAGAGTTGTATGAGCTCCTCATATATTCTGGTTATTAATCCCTTGTCAAATGGATAGTTTGTATATTTTCTCCTGTTCTGTGGGTTGTCTTTTCACCTTGTTACCTGTTTGCTTTGTTCTGCAGAAGCTTTTCAACTTGATATGATCCCATTTGTCCACTTTTTACTTTGCTTGCCTATGCTTGTGGAGTATTACGCAAGAAATCTTTGTCCAGCCTAATGTTTTGGAGAGTTTCCCCAATATTTCCTTTCTGTATTTTCATACTTTAAGGTCTTACACACACACACACACACACACACACACACACACACACACACACACACGTGTGTGTGTGTGTGTGTGTGTGTGTGTGTATATATATATATATAAAATTTTATTTTATGTTTTGGAGACGGACTCTCATTCTGTCACCCAGGCTGGGGTGCAGTGGCATGATCTCAGCTCACTGCAACCTCTGCCTCCCAGGTTCAAGTGATTCTCCTGCCTCAGCTTTCCAAGTAGCTGGGGTTACAGATGTGCCACCACCATGTCTAGCTAGTTTTTGTATTTTTAGTAGAGACAGGGTTTCACCATGTTTCCCAGGCTGGTCTCAAACTCCTGGCCTCAAGTGATCTGCCTGCCTTGGCCTCCCAGAGTACTGGGATTACAGGCATGAGCCATCATACCCAGCCTGGGGTCTTAGATTTAAGCCTTCAATCTATTTTAATTTTATTTTTGTATAAGGTGAGAGATAGGGGTCTAATTTTATTCTTCTGCATATGAATATCCAGTTTTCCCAGCACCATTTATTGAAGACTTTTTTTTTCCCCAATGTATATTTTTGGCACTTTTGTAAAAAAACGAGTTCATTGCAGATGTATAGATTTGTTTCCAGGTTCTCTATTGGTGTCATCAGGCAATGTGTCTGTTTTTATGCCAGTACCATGCTGTACTGTGTACTCTGTAGCATAATTTGAAGTCAGGTAATGTGAGTCCTCTAGTTTTGTTCTTTTTGCTTAATGCAACTTGGCTGTTCTGGATCTTTTGTGGTTCCATATAATTTTAGCATTTAAACACATTTTTTCTAATTTTAATTTAAAAAAAATTTTGTATAGTCTCACCATCTTGCCCAGGCTGGTCTCAAACTCTCAGGCTCAGGTGATCCACCCACCTTGGCTTCCCAAAGTATTGGGATTACATGTATGAGCCACCATGCCCAGCCTGTTTTTTTCTATTTCTGTGTAGAAAGTCATTGGCATTTTGATATGCATTACATTGAATCTCCAGACTGCTTTGGGTAATATGACATTTTCACAATATTGATTCTTTTAGTTTATGAACATGGAATATCTTTCTATTTTTTGGTGTCCTCCTCAATTTCTTTCATAAGCGTTTTATAGTTTTCATTGCAGAGGTCATTCACTTGTTTGGTTAAGTTAATTCCTAGGTATTTAATTTTATTTATATTTATTATAAGTGGGATTACTTTTTCAGATTACCTGCTGTTGGCATATAGAAATGCTACTGATTTTTGTATGTTGATTTTGTATCTTGTGACTTTACTGAATTTTTTTTATTAGTTCTAATAGTTTTTTGGTGGAATCTTTAGGTTTTTTCCAAATATAAGATCATATCATCTATGAACAATGATAATTTGACTTCTTCTGTCCTTTTTTTTTGAGATGGATTCTCACTCTGTCGCCCAGACTGGAGTGCAGGGGCATGATCTTGGCTCATTGCAATTTCTGCCTCTCTGGTTCAAGCGATTCTCCTACCTTAGCCACCTGAGTAGCTGGTATTTCAAACTGCCACCACCTCACCTGGCTAATTTTTGTACTTTTAGTAGAGATGGGTTTTCACCATGTTGGCCGGGCTGGTCTCAAACTCCTGACCTCAAGTGATCTGCCCTCCTAGGCCTCCCAAAGTGCTGGGATTACAGGCATGAGCCTTCCTTCCCAATTTGGATGCCCCTTCTTTCTCTTGTCTCATTGCTATAGCTAGGATTTCCTGAACTATGTTGACTAACAGTAGTGAAAGTGGGTGTTCTTGTTGTGTTCCAGATCTTAGAGGAAAGGCTTTCCATTTTTCCCCGTTCAGTATGATACTAGCTGTGCATCTGTCACATGTAGCTTTTATTGTGTTGAGGTATGTTCCTTCTATACTCAGTTTTTTGAGGGATTTTATCATGAAGGAATATTGAATTTTGTAAAGTGCTTTTTCAGCATCAATTGAAGTAGTTATATGGGCTTTGTCCTTCATTCTGTTGATATAATATATTGCATTAATTGATTTTTATATCTTGTACCATCCTTGCCCATTTGGTCATGATGAATGATCAGTGATGAATTTAATGTGTTGTTGAATTCAGCTTGCCAGTATTTTGTTGAAGATTTTTGCATCACTGTTTATTGGGGATAATAGCTCACAGTTTTCTTTTTTTTGATGTGTCTTGGTCTGGTTTTGGCATTAGGGTAATACTGGCTTCATAGAATGAGTTTGTAAGTATTCCCTCCTATATTTTTCAGAATAGTTTGAGTAGAATTGGTATTAGTTTTCTTTAAACATTTGATAAACTTCAGTAGGAAAGCCATTGGGTCCCTGGCTTTCCCTGGCAGACTGACTTTTAAAATTTTCTTCTTAATTTCTTCATTGATCCTCTGGTCATTCAGGAGCATATTGTTTAATTTTCACGTGTTTCTATAGTTTCCAAAATAACTCATTATTGATTTCTAGTTTTATTCCATGTGGTCAGGGAAGATTCTTATTTTTCTTTTTTAAATTTTTTTTTGCCTTAGGCATGGTTTTTATTCACTTGGACACTGTACAAGTATTACAATTTCCTTTTGCTGTAAAAAGTATAAAAATAATCTCTATATAGGAATCCATTCGTTACTGTAAATCTTTCTAAATCTCCGCAAATGGCTCTAAATAAGGGTAAATGAATAAGCAGAAATGAAGAGGAGGTTATGGGGCAGCAGGAGGTCCAGCCAATCCTCAGGGCTGGACCACCCAGACTCCTCACCAGAGACCTCTGTTCCTTCTTTGTAGCCACCCCCACCACCTGCAGGTTCTAGGGCTAAAGGCCCAGAAGGGGGCACGTGAGAGGGCCAGGAGGTGCTGGAGGGTCAGGGGTAGGAGACAGTGAAAGAAGCTAGGGGTGGTGCTGGCATGTGCCCAGCTCCACCCAACCCTTCCCTCCTAGGGGAAGGAGCTGGCATGTGAGCAAGATAGTGAGGCTGGACAAGCTGCCCTACGGGGATGGGGGGGAGGGGGGTGGCGATGACGGCTCTTCGGTTCTGTGCCACTTGCCACTGGGTGGCAGCTGAGCCTGGGCTTGGGAAGGCCGCAGCAAAG